GATAACTATTACAAAATTTGCCTAAACGAAGGCGCCTTTTCAAAATACTTTCAAAAACCACACAAAGCATATTTTCAAACAAAAGCAAGTGATCTAACAAGCAACTAAGATCCCATAGATAACTATGGATGAAAAGGGTGTTAATACCGTCCCTTTTCATAATCTACCCCTCGAACTCAAGAAATAATCTCAAAGGTCTTTCCTGTTCTTTTCGGCCTTTCCTTTTGGTTAAAAGAAAAGTCAGTGGCGAATCTTGCTAACCGTAACATTTGCGATAAAACACAAAACACCCAAGTCAGTTCTCCCACCGTACCACAAATATGCAAAGAGGAAAAAATGTATGTTAGACATTGTCGAGAGTTAAGTGATCCACATAAACATCAAGAAGATAAGCTGACCATTTTTCTGTGCATAAATAAGAAGCTTGAAATTCAAAAGGGGTTAGAGTAATGACTTCTTTGGCATAAAAGTCTAAACACGCTTGATAGTTTTCCTTCGATAATACAGTGTTGGCCAAATAGATTTCGTCTTTATCGATAAAAAATGACTTTGTTAAAAATTGGTTAAAGTCAAATTGTCAAAAAAAAGAGTTGGAAATTCTCTCTTAAACCAATTTGGGCCATAAATTTGACTGACAAATGGGGCCATGGAGGAAATGAATGTAACATAGTCTGCACACATAAGGAAATAGTTTTTGAAGGCTTGCTCGATTGAATTCCATTGTATTATGGAGTAAGCAAATAAAGCCTAGTTCCTTCAACCCGTCTATCTTCGACCTGTATCGCTAAATCATATTGGATGATAATTTTTAGAGAAGGTTCACAGGCGACATTAAGCCAAAGTTGCAAGAGCCACATAGGGCCAGAGATCAAAAGCTTGTCTCAGGCTTGGTTGTATATTTTAGGTCAAAAGAAACAAGCCATATGGATTCATAAAGGGAACCTACGTTCAACCTGGTGAGACATATGTTTCGCCCTTCATGAATATGGGTGGCCAAATCTATAAACTTCTTGGGTATTTGCAAAGAATTAGAACAAAGGACAAAATGAGATAGCCAAAGAGTGAGGAAAGCGATGTGCTCATAGTCAGAGACTTCCTCATGATCTTCATGATGGTATTTAATATAATTTCTAAAGCTAGCATGGGTGAAAGGAAAATCAGGTTTGATTTTGTTTTAGAGAATGGGTTCAAAGGTATCCCCAATTAGTTGAAGGTCAATAATAACAGCCACGTCGAAAAGGGTAGAGGTTACCATTTCATAGTGGAGGTGAAATGTGTTGGTCGAAGCTTCTCAAAAGTAAAAGGCTGAAATGAGCATGTGGGAATTATATTTGGGGCCATTTCTGGACAATTGAATCAAGTCAAATATACCTTAGTCTTTTCAGATTTTTTCTTTCTTCTTTTCTACTTTGTTTAACTAATTAATAAAAGCTTCATTGTTGATAGTATGAGACAAAAGAATGACACGGTGGGATAAATCCATAAAACCTAACTCATAGATTGTGTCTTCAAATACGCAAGGTTTATAACGGCGCAAACAAGGATAAATTTCATGTAACTTAGCAGGTTTTGTAGAATATCTGGGAAATGGACCCAAAAATGCATTAACATTACCTTAGATAGAAAAAGAAATTAATACTTGGGAATCCCTGATGACATTTTTTTATTTCTCCATTGGTGGTTCAAGGATATAAGTGTGATTTCCAAAGAGATTAAGAGCAATAACATTAGCAGCAGAAGGAATCGAGAGTTGATTCTTCTCACTAGAAGAAGTCATTGCTCTAAAGTTTGAGTACAAGAAGAGAATGAAAGTTGCAGAAAAATGAAAGCTCTCAAGGTTCAGGGAAGAAGAAGTCGCGAAAGAGAAGAAAGAAAGGAGGAGGGTGTATATATAGCCATGTAATAAAACTGTTCAGATTCCCCCTCTAAATTAAAACCCACTAACGTTTGATTTTATGGAATAAAATTAATTAATTTTTTTCTAAAATGGATAAATCTTGTGGCCCACAATAACCTAGGAAATTGGGATCATGATCAAAGTTTGCTAGCACGTTCTTGATGTGACAATTTGTTGAAAGTGGTCATGATGATGATGACTATGCATACTAATTTGAACAGTACAAGAGTTTACTAAAAATACCACTTTCTTCAATTATGTAAACATGATCGAAATTGACATTTTTTAGGGCATTTGTTAGCTTGAGGATTTAAGTTTAGAATTTTCAACATGAAAGTGTGATGCAAAGGATAATATTGTTAAGTGTAAAATAACCTAGTTGTAGTTTCTACATATTGATTACTTCGACTGAGGTAGTGAGTTTGACTCGCCTACCAGGTGTTTTCAAACTTAGTATATTCTTGAGTTCAAGAACTAGATGACCTAGAGACCCACTAGGCTTAGTTAGGAGGAATCTCAAGAACGAATCCACAAGATTATGATTAGTCTCTCTTCAAAATATGTTCATAATCTCAAAAAGATTTGTCGTGATTTGGCATATTCAACAGGGATAGACAGAAGACATGAAGATGTTTTTGAAAGAAGCAGTCAGAAGATTTAAGGGCAGTTGTCGACATGAGTAGCAGTTTGTAGCAGTTTAACAATTGAAGTGTCGTGGAAGCAAAGCATAGGACAAAAGGCCACATAAATTTCATTCATGTAATAAAGTTCCACAACTTCATTAATATTCTCTATAGAATTCGAGTATCCAAGTCACAGAGGGAAAAGAATTTGAGAGAAATGTATGTATGTACGCCCCTCTACTAATTCTTTAACCCGAACATTTTATTTAATTAATTTTCTTATGTTCCTTGTTTACTTTATTTTCGAAAAATTATGTATTGTTTTTATTGAAATTTGTATCCAATTTCTACATTCAAACATCAAATACCCAAGCACAAACACATCTTATCAAACTATTTTGCACAAATGTCCTTAAGATTTTTTTTAATCCTTTAAGTGAACTAAAACTTGTGATTTGATTTACTAAAAACAAAAATAAACAACTACACATATTTCCTTTCCTCAAATTATCAACGACGACCTTTAAATCCACATAAAACTCAACTTTTAAATACACACGAGTTTGCTCAAGATATAACCCCTCCAAAAATCTCAACAAGGTGAGTATTACATCTTCCAAATTTTTTGGAACAACCACATCGAATCTCTTTGACAAAAGGAAAGTCGCACATGACATGGAGAATATCCTCGATCTCGTCCTCACAATGCTTGCATCGAGGATTGCCTAAGAGCATGATTCGTAACCAATCTACTCCGATACAAAATAAATATAAAATAAAAAAAAGGTTAAATGTCTTCTACTCTCTTGCAATAGTAGTGAGATTTTGATTTACCCCCTTTTAATTTATATTTCATTTGAAATGGCTGACTGGATCATGTATGCCACCGTGACATCAGAAAATTGCTGACTATGCTTATTTAAATCCAAGTGAAATTTTATTTTATTTATATATTTTTAATTTTATATTTTATTAACTTTTTTAATTATTTTTTTAAACTTTTTTTTAATTTAGTTTATTTAAAATTTTTAGAAATAATTTTTTTAAATAATCAAAATATTTTATTTGGGCCAAAGCCCAATAAAATATCAATAGAAACCCACTTACTCTCATACTATTTTCAATTGATATATCCATAAGTTTGATTGATATATAAACACTAATGGTGTTTTTATATCAACAGATGTGAGACTATTACTAAAACAACACAATATTGTCATCCCTTCAATACTGTCTCAATACTTCCATCTCTGCCTTCCCTGTTTTGTGTTGTACACGTTCACATCCATAGGCATGTGATTGAAAAGTACTTGTCCGGAAACTTTACAGGCGAGTATTCTCCCAGCAAGAATTTCGAGCAGTGTGGTTTTTCCAACTCCACTAGGACCAGCAATAGCAGTAATATCCCCTGGCCTTGCTTCACAGTTTACATTCTTCAAAATGAACCTTGAACCTCTCCTAGGATTCAAATCATAACAAAGACTTCTAAATTCATCAAATTTGCTAAACAATTTGTATGATAATTTTTTGGTTTCTAATATATACAAACCTTTTCTAGTGCATGAGATGGACTTGAATGATGGTCCCATTGTTGTGTTTGTGTGCATGCAAAGTGAGAGAAGAAAATCATGTATTGTTTATGTTATGTGAAGAAAACACAGCAAGAGAAGGAAGATGAGCTAACACACCAAACTGTGAGCTAGTTATAAGCTAAGAAGCCAAAATATATTATGTAAATATGTATTGAATGGACCTTGACATTTTGTACAATAGATTTGACTTCATATACTTTTATATTTTCTATTCAAGTGTATGACTCGAAAAGTGTTTGGCTAGCTCAAATTGTTTTAGAAACTCAAATTGTTTGATCCATCATTTTATTCAATTCAACAAATTTTATGAACTGTTAGCAATTGGAACTTGAAAAGCCTTGCACAACCTATTTCATAGTACAAAATTTACTTCATCATTTGTACAAAAAAAAAACTAAATAATTATATTTTGTCCTCATTTTCACTAACTAATCTCCTCTCTTGAATCTTTCGCTATCACACTACCTTATGTGAATAATTTTGTACAGACTGAATCCTGAATGGCAGAGACGCAATCTTTCCTAACAAGCCAAATCGGTGCAGTAGAAGAAATCCATCCACAGAGAAGAAAAAGGCACAAACATTGCAAACATCAATTTTCACCACATTGCATTTACGTATTACAATATCCAAATCGTTATGTTTCGAAATTGCTACCCAATCTCTCTCTACCTTAATATAACTTAGTCACTAAAATTGACCCTTGACTTCAACTATCATTAACTTTCATACTATGTCACTATTAATTAATAACCAACTAAACAAAGTACATAATTTAAGAATTGTTACTACTTATTCATATTAGTAACCTATCAAGTTCGGATCAGATAATAGTTATGCAGAAACATCAGTGTCGTCGAAAATATCAGATGTAAATTGGAAATTTCACTAGAGAAAGATGAAACATTCCAATGACACAAGTGGGTTTTCCAGTGACTCATTTGCCGTTGATGGCCATTTATTCTCCATTGTTGAATTCTCCATTTTTCGGCAACCATTCACCGGCGAGGATGTTCTCGCCTTAGCTGGCGATTGGTTAGTTTTTCTTGCAGATAAGCTTCGACCCGCAACGGATCTCGTTGATCCGTTGTCAGTGCGAGTGGCCGGTGATCTAGATCGTCGGCCGGAGTTTTCTCCGGCGTCTCTCCGGTGAAGATTGTTTCTGACTCCCCCATTTCCAATTTGATCTCTCCTTGCCGACCCAGCATTTCTTTTAACCGGAGACTGCTCTGACCTTCTCGCCGGCGACTTCCCCGCCGTCCACTCTCTTCTCTCACCGGAAAAAGAACGGTTTTTGCGTGTTTTAGCGGGAGATCCGTTGACCCTTTGGCGAAATTCTTCTTCATCTTCTCTCCTATCAGTGACTGTAGACACACTTTCGCCTAAGCTACAAACCTCAGAGAATTCAGAGATCTCATCGACTTTGTAGAACGGTTTCTCAACCTTGTTCTCTCTATCAAATTTCTCAAAACACTTTGGCTTTTCACCTTCATATTTCTTCCATTTTGACGTTTCCGACAACACTTCCTTCACGGTTTCTTCTTCCAATGGAACAGGAGGGGGTGCTCTGTTTTCCGAGCCTTTCACCTGAGAAATGCTAGATCTTGATACCTGAAAATCATTGCTCTTTGTTGTTGACAACGAAGATCTGTTACTACTAGCACAACAACCCATTTTGGCTTTACACTGTTCGTTGGTGAAACTACGTACTATGTTGTTGTTTCTATTGAAAACACAAACATCATAGTTTGTAAAAATTTGGTTAGTGTGTCATGGAAAAGGTTGTTTTCTACTATAGTTTCTCTTAGTTGTGAGTCTAGCTAGATTAACAAGAAGAGGAAATGAGAGAAGAGGTATAAAAGGTAACAAATGGTAGTTAGAAAAGAGAGCTAGTTGCACAGGTCAATGAATGGAGGGAAGACATTTATTGTAAGATCTCTAATAGTACTATATCATACAGGTACCAACATGGACAAGTAGTAAACATTAAATACTCTAAGATAACATGAAATTAGAGAAGAATAAATCAATTTTAATTTTAACCATATGGAGAAGTATTTAAACTCTATGGGTTCTTAAGCATGGTTGCATTTTGGAAATTGAAAACAAGTGGTAGTTCTTTAATATTTGGGAGAATAATTGATCAAAGTGACTAGTTTTCATACTTTACTAGATAAATTAAAAGACTTTGGAATTTCGGATAATTTTGAAGTGTTTGGTTTATCAAAAGTAGAATTGATTATATCTTCAAAATTGATTATATTTAAAGCTAAAATTTATAAGTTCTGTTTTCAGAATTAATTAAGTTAAAATCAATTATATCAATTATATAAATATATCCAAATATAAATCAATTAAGTTAAAATCAATTATATCAAATTTAATTTTAATAGAATCAATTATATCCCCTATCAATTCAACTATTTCCTTATAGAATTGATACTAGTAAGATCGTTCACGTCAAAGAACTCATTTTAATTTTTTAAATAAATTTTACTATTTTTTTATATTTTTTTATTTTTTTAATTATAAATATTTATATAATCTATAAAAAACTTTAAAATGGATCTCATTAAATTTACTTTTTTAACAATGTTTACAAATTTGTATACGTATTTTAAATTTCAATTATTCATAAAACGGTGACATGGAAGCTTAAATATGAGCGAAAGAATTGTGCAAAGCACCAATAACAATGTTTCAAATAGTAGATGGTAACTAGTATATGGATATTAAAGAGACATTGGTTGTTGTGTTTTGGGATTGTCCTTATGTACTACAAATATAAATTAAATTTGTTTCTTTTAATAAAATGACTCAGTTTTACTATTTTTCATGTAAGGATTGAATCTCTCACAGTCTCATAAAAAATTGTACAGATTTTCACTACAGTGAAGATACATCTTTATAATCTCTTGTCAGTACTTGTAGATGTGGAGAAACAAATCAATTGTTGAAGAAGACTTTCAACGGTCTGACAATCCAACAAAAACAGTCTTGCATTTGGTGAATGAGATCGAGAATGGCAACCAAATGTAGAATAATGATTTTTAAAACTAGAGATCTAACACGTTTAATGGTAAGCTCAATTATGATAGAACTTACAAGAAGTCTATGCCCAATATCGGATGCATAGGCTTACTCAGGGATTTCTAATGAAATTGGGTGAGACATTGTGCACGAAAATTTGGTTTGTGTGATGCTCAAAACTATGAAGATGTGGATGATGTTACATGAGATGAAGCTAGTTTGACAAAAGAAAGTTACAAATCTGGTGGTCGAGAATGACTCTAAAGTCTTGATAGATATGATTAACTAAGAGATTGTGGATGATCACAATTTTAAATCTAAAGTCAGGAATCAAACAAAAATCCTTACAAAGATATTACACAAGTGAAAACACCCTTTTAGTAAAGTTAAAAAAATAACACAACATTTATACACCAAAATTCTCACAAAGGAGTTTTCACTATCTAGGTACTAAGACAATTATAGTGAAAATAGAAAATAGAGAAGAAGAGAATAGAAATAATACTAAAATGAGTTTTATTATAAAAAATGGTGTGAAATAAAATGAGGAGAAGTGTCCTTTATGTAGGAAAAAATTGGCTAAAAAAATGATCCATGAGTCAAATTAAATGGTTTAATTTATTAAATCACCATTTAATCGATTAATACACATCAAAAGGTGGCAACCCTAATCCATAAAGTAAACCTAGACTAGCTATATGATTTAATCGATCAAAACATTTCTAATCAATTAATAAGTCATTTAACTTACTCTAATCGGTTAGACCCTATCCTTAATCGATTAGCCCATGTAAAAATCTTTCTAATTGATTAGAAATATTTCTTAATCAATTATACACAAGCCTTGATAGGTTTCCAATATATTTTGAGAAATAAGAGAGATTTTAAGAGAATTTTACGTGTGCGTGTGTGATTGCCTTAGTACTTCGAGAATTACTCTAATACCTTTTACATTAAACTAATTACTTAGACACACACTAAACACAAGACTATATGAGCTTTCATATTTATTCTCTTTTACAACTTTAGAGCTTCAAGTCCCTTTGATAAATTCATCTATGCCTTAGTACTTCTACTGGAACTTGACTCTTATAACTAATGAGGCTTGAGATATCTTCTTGATTGAATATCGTCATCAGAGATTGCTGGATAGTTGTCCCCAAATATTTCACCGAACTCCATTTGACCTAAGGTGTTGTCATCATTGAGGAGGCTTGAAATTTGATCTCACAAAGAACATCTTGACCATTGAATTATCTTGATAGATAAAGACTTCACCGAATATTGTTTTACATAAAGTGTTGTCAACATCAAAACTAACAGGATCATCTAATGGTTGCAAACACGTGTACCTGAAACTCACATAGATCCATATCATACCCTTATATATATATATATATATATATATATATATATATATATATATATATATATATATATATATATATATATATATATATATATATATATATATATATATATATATATATATATATATATATATATATATATATATATATATATATATATATATATATATATATATATATATATATATATTAAAGGATAAAGATTTGTTTATTGAGTCGTTTGAATTCATACATCATCAAGTCTCATAACAAGAGTTAACCTCTGATGCTACTTATTAACTAGGTGACTTTAAACACGAGAGAGAGGTGAATTGTATTATTTAGATTTTTAAAACTTTTTCACAAAATATTCATTTAAAGATTAGCCAATTTTAAATAAAAAGATGAAATAGATAATTTCGAGTGGAAGATAAATTCCACATAAAAGATAAGATGTAGAGAAATCACACCATGATTTATACTATTTCAGCCTTAGACCAGTCCCTAAGAGTTTTCCCTTGAGATTTTCACCAAAAAGTTTGAGCTTTTACACCAAGTTCGACCTACAACCTTCTTACACTAAGATTTTACACGAGTTCAAATTGAAAAATTTATATCACATATACTGTTACAAGAGAACTAAGCTCTTGAATTACAATTACACGACTCTGCTTTAAGCCTTTTGCTCTCTCAACCCTAAGATAATGACATGTGTATAAATTTTTTTATATGAACAAAGCGAGTAAGGAAGATGAGTATTAAATCATATTTTTGTGTTTTGGAAGAGTGCGCAAGACTCCTTTATATATGAGAAAAATTTTGGCTAAAAATGAGTGTAACCAATGGTCTCTGGACTCACTCTAATTGTTTAGCATGTGGCGTTAATGGATTAAAGCTAGTAAATATGGAAACAATTTAGATAGGTTCACTTCCTAATTGATTGAAAGGGTTGCTAATCTATTAGGTGGCGAGTTAGCTCCTTAGTTAATTAGATACTAGTTCTAATAGAGTAAAGAGAAGATTTTATTTTCCTAATTGGTTAAGACGCTTCCTAATTGATTAGCCAGTGAAATTCTAGTAGTCAGATATCAGATGTCCTAAGAGATATCGAGACATTAATCACTGAACAACAACGCAATGAAGAATATAACACAATAAAGTTGTGCAGAAAAGTATAAAAAAAACTAAGAAAGAAGTTATCAAGCCTGCATATAATCTACTCATCACAGACTTAAATCTATCGACCAGTTACATTCAGCCTAACAATACTCATCAATGTCACTACTATCACTCACAATATAAGTCATTTCTAAACCACATTGAGAGACTGACTGTATCATCAAGGAAATGATCTCTCTACCTCCTGAACAACATAGAAGACAACTTATGTAATCGCACTGACAATCTCTCAACACAACACAACCACACAGAGGCATTAAGCTATGATACCCAAGTATATTTTAGCTCTAAATCTATCTCTAGAGTTCATAAACTAACAAATGATCATCCTAGATAAGAATCTAAGCAGTATATGTCTATAACAACTTAAGTCCCTAGCACAGAGCAAAAATTCAGGACAACAATCAATAGAGATTAATAAACAAAGTTTTATATAACACCATGGGTGATAAATATACACAAGTTCAGAGTAAATACATGTACAAACCAAACACATAAAAAAATACACAAAGAGAAAGAGAAATGAACCACAAATCTCCCGGTTTATCAGCGCCGATTGATGAGCAATCCACCCTGGATCTTTGTATGCAAGCTTAAATGTTGTTTTCTAAGCTAATCCTATCACAAAATGAAGGTTGATGGAGTTGGGATCAAAAATACCCAAAACCATACCCAAAAAATGTGTTTATACACCTAAATACGCATTTTTGACTGTCCAGCATCGCCCGACGACCAAAAAGCATCGTCCGCTACCAAAACAGTGTTTTTCCCATGCTACAACTCGCCTAGCATCACCCGGAGACCAAAAGCGTCACCCGACGACGGATGACAGAAGGTTGAAAAATCAGCACAATATTCTGCACTATTTCAGCCATAACTTTTGAATCATAAGTTTGATTCGCACCCGGTTCAAAGCGTTGGGAAGCTTATTCAATGCTCTTTCTAACAATGACAAATATCCAAATTGATGATTTTTATTCTTTGATTTTGAGTCTTATTCGTTGATGAGTTGCTCAAAATCGCCCGTTTGAAGCTGTGTCTTCGACACTTTATTTTTCATGCTCCAAATACGCATCAATACCTACAAAATGAATGGAAAAACATCAAACGGTACCC